AATCAAACAGTACAATAGTTTTCAAATCCAGTTATGGTTTGACAAATATTTGAGCAGTATTTCCATTTTACAATATTTTAAATTATTTTCAGAGGAAATAATTTCAGATTCACAATATGTGGCATGAATAAAATACAAATAACACCTTATTCTTTTTCTCCAGTATGATCTAGTACTTTGCTACATTCACTCATCATTTAGAGGACTCTCTCCCACTTCTCCTGACTACTTGAGGATTATGTACCATGGTCCTTTGCTCCTAAATAGTTCAGTGAATATTTCCCAAGAATAGAGATGTCAGCCCAGAGTGGTAGTATACACCTGTAATCCCAGCACTTGCACTTGGGAGGCTGAGGCAGGAGGATCACTGTGAATTTGAGGTCAAACTGCACAACATAGTGAATAGAAAGCCAGGCTGAACTACACACCAATGCTCTGTTTCAGAGAAGGAAGAGAGGGAGAAAGAGAGGGATGGACAGAGAGAGGGAGGGGGAAGGGGAGGAGAGGGGGAGACAGACAGACAGACGGACAGACAGAGACATTATGAACCAGAATAGGCCGGGTGGAATTGAACAGAGCCACCCATGAATCAGTTTAACTTGTGACAAGGTTAAGACCACCAACTCTCTCTAAAAAAAAAAAAGTCCTTGTAGAACAGGACAGAAATACCATTACGGAGAGCCTTCAGTAGTTTGCATATGTATGTGTGTGTGGGGGGGCGGGCTGTTAACAAAAATTTAACCAGGTCTACCACAAGAAAAAGCAAACAGAAGCAGACCCCATATGTCCTCCTTCAATGCCCCAGGCCAATGTGTTTCTTTCCTTTTCTCAAAATGGGTGTCACGGCTTGTGTCTAGATGTCCTCCCAAAGTCTCATGTACTCATTTGGTGGGGCTGGATCTAGAGTGTGTAATTTTGGGATTAAGGTGTGTAATTGCTAAATTAGTCCACTGATTGGCTTGGCACAGCTCTGGGTATGGATAATGGGAACGCACACTCTAGGTATGGCTGGTGCCATCCAAAGGGCAGATAGCTTGGCAGGGATAAAGGGGAGAGGCAGCCTGCTGCTGCATCCCTGCTAACTCACTGCTTTGCTGCCTTCCTGCCTTGTGCCCAACATGAACTGTCTTCTGCACAGCCCCTCTACCATGCCAACCTGCCTTGGAGCCAACCAGCTATGAATTAAATAAAACTTCTACAAACTGTAAGCCAAAATAAACCTTTCCTCCTTTAACTTTGGATATCAGGTATTTGTCTCAATAAGAAAAATAAACTAATATGATGGGTTTCTAGTAGCATGTGCACCTCATAAAACTGCAACCCAGAAGAAACATGCAGAAAAGAGGTTACTCTTTCAGGGTCAAATATGTGGACAAGAAGAGAGAAAAGCAGACTGAAACAGGGGTCTTGCCCTCCGACAAACACAGTAAAATGGGAACAGAGCCATGTTTTTAGAAGAAGCACAGGCAGGTACACCATCTCACAGGAGTACAGTTTGTGTCCAGCTACTAGGGTAGATAGTAACTCTGGGCCAAGGCTGTGTCCAATGACTGCTGCCTTTGAAGCCACAGTAAATCTTGCTTAAGTCCTGAGGTAGGAGTGCCTTTGGTGGTGTACACGAAGGTTAGCTGGCCTCTACCATAGTGAAGAACAAGGAATAGCTACTGAAGCCAGGGGAATGGCGTTGTCAGACTGAACAGTCAAAAATTGCTCAAGCTGGTGACTGGGTTGGGAGATGCTGCTCAATGCAAGCTCTGGGATTTAGACAAAATATCACGATGGAGATGAAGACAAGCTAATAAATCAGACACATTTCCAGGACAAAATGCACAGGCCTCACTGGACAGGTTTCCAGGAGAGCAGTGAAGAAAGACAGTGACTCCAAGGTCTTTTACTCCAGCAGAAGTGCTCTGAGAATACTGAAGCTGGCCAGTGTGAGACAAAGGGCAGATTAATGACTCAAGTGTGAGAAAGCAAAACTTACCTTGCTTTCTGAGGAAGTGACAATTTATCCTGCTTTTCGTCAGGCTGGAATAGCAGACACAGATAAGACAGCTGCACAAGAAAATATATCTCCCAAGGATACTGCAACTAAGAAGTGTCACAGTGACCCTCCTTTCTTTGACTGCTGATTTCTTGTTCACTGAGAAACTTTAGTTTCTGCATACCCCAGTGTTGGGATAAGAAAGAGTTAATATAAAGACCTGCTAAATAACCTGCAGGGCATGTGGGAGGAGGAAAAATGAAACAGGGCAGCAACAGCAGTTGCTGGAGTAACCAAGAACACTTGGAACTCAAGGACAGCCCTGTTTTTGTGTCCTTGCTCCCAGATGCCTAGCAAGTTTTCATGTATAGCCTAAACATTAATCTTGGACACATACGATGGGATCTTGTTATGTTCACCTAAAGTAACCCAAAGGCTAATACTCAAGATACATAAAAATAAAGACCAAAGGCAGGGCAGCAGGCTTTTTGCTCAAGCCCTTGCTTTGTTTGCATTGATTGTCCATGTGTCTTTGTTCGCAGCCAGCACCTGTGAGACTTTCCCAAAGTTTCCAGATTCCTGGAAACTTTACTATTTGAGATGTTTACATAAAAAGAAAACACTGCTTGCCTGTAGAGTCACTGTGACACACACAGAACGACAGCCTGATTTTCCATTTGTCACAGAGCTGTAATTAAGGAATTTTCTAATTGAATTTTTCCCCCCCATAGGGTTTTGCTTTTATTGACTTTTTTTTTTTTATTTTTCAACAAATAATACACTGCATATATTCTTCTTAGTGGTTAATTGCTGTACAAGATGCGGACTTGTGATCCTATTTACACACACCATTAGAACAAATCATTCTATTCATTAACAGAATGTAACTATATATCTATCCCAACCACTTTGAATACACAGATACAAAATAGACATTCATCTGTATACCCCATTTTTTCTAAGTTCCGTTATTGAATATTATAGGTGTGTAAACTCAGCAAAATTGAATTTTGTAATTTTCAAAAAAAAAAAAAAAGTCCTAGATTCACTACACAATCAAGACTTATACTGCCCCTTTACATATAACTCTACTTTATTTCTTTATCAACTAAATTCTAACCCTGCCCCAAGACCTGTATCAGTTCAGCAAGATGCCTCTTACTCTTCTATCTGGTCTTCACACTGCAATAAAGCACAAACCTGACCTTGTCAGGCTTGGGTTCCACTCCCGGTAACCTTGGCCTGACTAAGTAGGACAGACATTTAGAATCTGAAATGGTTTGATCTCCAGCATACTCTACCCCCCCCCAAATCTGAAATTATTTTAAAACAAGAAAAAAATGCCAAATAGGAGTTGGACCCAGGACCCTGAGCTTCAAGAATTTAGGGCTAGAAATAAATCCAGCAGCCCCTGCCTTCAAGATGGTAGCTGAAGCTGCACTGTTCTGAAGACTTCCTAGGAAGAGTCATGGAGGTGAGAAGGGTCCAAGGCCTAGGTCTCAAGCAACTATACTATCTGATCACTGTTGAGCAGAGAATGGCAAATGAGCAAAGAGGAGTGAGAAGGCATTATCAGAGAGAACATTGAGAAAGAGGTGACAACACAGCCTGGGGAAGGTAAAAGACCATGGCAAAGATCTCCCAGAGTGTTACTGATCAGCTTTTCCTGTGTAGCACTCAGTGTGATTTGGTCAGGGGACTGAGCTCCAAGCATCAACTCATGCTGACTCATGAGAGCCTAATGTAGTTCTCAGAATGCCATTTCATGACTTTACAGTGAAATACCTGCAGGCTCACATATTCTACCACCAAGTAGCATTTTCCTTTCCTGGAGATACATACATAAGGAATGATTCATTACTCTGGGAAGTTATTAGATGAGATCAGAACAAAGCAAGCTAAGAAATCAGACCTGGAGTATGTTAAACAGCATCCCAGTAAGCCAGAGAGAGGTCTAGTTACAAAGGAATAAGGGAGTCAACAAAGAACGGTGAGAAATTCAGGAGTAGCAACAGTTTTACTGCTCATGGCCAACAAGAGGCATGACCCAAACTCAGGGAAAAGTGGACAGTGGAGGTGACCTGCAGGCAAAAAACCCTGGTTAAAGGGGTACATCTATGGCCATAGAACCCTGGGGCATGTCACTTCTGCCGCTCTGTCCAGCAACACCCTTAGAGAGCCCTGCCAGCCAGTCTGCAGGGTTCACCATCCAGGCACAGCATAGAGAAGAGGGGAAGATGGATGTGAGGACTCCTAGGAAAATACGGCAGGGCTGGATAGGAACCATGAACATTTTCTTTTCTAACTGGACAGAGCTGGCCTATTACCTATGCACATTTGCACAAATCAGAAACTCATACTCTTCAGTCAGGGTATCTTCCAGTCTGGGATACACCTTTTCTAGATACCACAACATAATGGCTAAGTCAAATGTGATGTGGAGATCAACCATAGAAAAGCTGGCAATGCTAACTAAGCTCAGTGAGGTAAGTGCCAAGTCAAGCTTGAAATATACCCAAGAACTTTAATAGGCTCCTACACTGGTGTGACATAATGGCTCAGCTCAAATCTTACTAGTCTGAATGAACAAGTCCTAATCTTGAACTTACAACAATGCTAGCAACTGACACTCCCATCCACCTAGAGATAAGTGAACACAGCCAACTATCTGCTGCACAGTTAACTGCATTTGAGGTTTCCATGTGAAAAGATCTTTAACTTGCACAAGAATGTACTTAATTTGCAAATATCAATAGTATGAGATTCCTGCAAGAAAGACAGCAAAAAGAGAGGCTAGTCCAGAAAGCTAGTAACCTTTCCTCCAACACCTACACACACGTGCAAATTATACACAAAGGGCATTGCTAAGCCTTTCTTACCTTTTACCTGACTCTCAAATGATTATAGAATGACACTTTAAAATATATTTATGGTTACAGTTATGTACCTAAGTCAACTTTGTTAGAACACATTACTATCACCATCAGCAAATGCTAAAAATAAAATTAAGACTCACTTTTTTCTAAAATCTTTAACTTCTGGAAGCTTTCCAAGACATCTCCATTTAGTATTCTGGGTAAGAAGTCCCGTATCTGCATCACTTCGGTTGTCAGCCGGTCCAGGTCCTTCTTTCTGACTCTAACAAATTCTTCTTTAGTTTCCATAGGCTAAAACAGCAAACCCAGTTTATGATTAGTATGTTTCCCCTCTGACTCAGCAGCCCAAGTCAACCAGCTTCCTTTTCTTCCATTCCTCTTAAGTTCACAATTATTTCAAAAGCATGATTATGCCTAATGCATCTTCTGGCATGGATATAGATTGTTACACTTTGAGGGCTGAAGCCCTAGCCTTCAAAACAAGAATCAGGCCAGCCTGGTGCCTGGCACTTGTTGTCCTAGTTACTTGGGAGACTGAGGGGCCAGAATTGTTTGAGCATAGGAATTCAAGGCCACCCTAGGCAACATGGCCAGATCCATCTCGGAAAGATACAGGAGCCTGAAATTTAAGCGTAAAGTGAGGTGCACACAAGAGCCCTGTTTTGAAAAGAAACACACATATTTCATTTTTTAAAGAAAATGCCTACAATTCAACATCACAGCACCAGGCTGACTGGGAACAGAGAGCGGGCGCCTCTTACGCTAGTCACCCCATTTAACATCCACCCAGCCCAAGGAGGAACTTTCTTGAAGGCAGTAGTAACACGGGATTGGATCCAGAGTCCAACCACCCCGACTCGCGCGTGCAGCAGATATCAGTACTGAACAGTCTGCGGTATCCCTTTCTCTCATACACGCTGCAAACGGTCACGGCCTGTGGAGGGGACGGAAAGGCGAACTCCATGTCCCGTCGCAGCTGCTTCATCCCACCATTCCCACACGGCACTTAGGCGAAGGCCGCCTCAGGCCCAATTCCAACCAGGCCCGGCCTAGCCCACACCGACCCGCGGTCAGCTCTCTGGGCACTAGGAGAGACCCTGGGGTAGGGGCTGACAAACAACCACAAGCGTGTCACGCAGGAGGCCAGGCCTCCGCACTGACCCGGCAGGCTTCTGTTACGCCGCCCTCCTCTCCCATGGTCGTGGCGTCGGCTCTGTGCGCCTGTGCGGCGCCCTCTGACCCCTACACACACAAAAGCGCGGGAACGCGCCTGCGCCGTGCCTGGATGGTCCGGATGGAGAGCCGCGAGGCCCAAAACGCGTGGACTTTATACGCCTTTGTCAGTGTGTGTTCGCTCAATGGTGGGGTCTGCGAAGTCCTGCTTCTGCTCTTCTGGCCTAAACAGGGTTTCAACCTTGTTAACTGCAAAGTCGACAGAACGTGGGGTTCTAAGTGTACATAAATTGTTCAAAACAAATTGAATTGAACCTTTTCCTGTTTGGCGACGAGAGCTGTACCCAAAAGGGCACCCTCTTTAAGGGAAATCTCGCCTACAGCCAGCAGGCCGGGTCCCTTGCTGGGCTTGAGGTACTTCTATGTTAAAGAGCGTAGAAGTATTTGGATTCAATAGCTAGGTGGGATTTTCCTAGTTCACCCTAAATTCAGGGGAGTTACCTATCTCAGAGCAACTTCCCCAACATCCTCGCTAAATCCATTAAAACATGACACAGCTGGAATTTTAGATGACTTTTAAGACTTGTCGATGCCCCCAGGCTGCGTGTGTGCTCCGCGGGCCTGAAGACCTACAGGGACTCGCCCGACCTGCCCGGCCACCGCGGGGAGGTGCGCAGCGGACGATCGCCGGCCGGGGGCACCCCGTTCCCGCTGGTCTCAACCTCACTTGGGTCCCGACGGGGCTTTGGGAAGTGCGCTTAAAGTCTGTCTTGCTGGCCAAGTCCGGACTCTGGCTAACCTCGACGACAGCGGCCCACGCTCAGGGCCCGCGCCGCGCGGACCGAGCGGAGCAGCGCCGCCTGCTGCCAGCGCCGCGGCCCCGGCGGCTTTCGGGTACGCCATCAGCGCGCGCCACACCGCGCCGCGCCGCGGCTTTTGCGCAGGCGCGGCCGGGTTAGTGTGCGCCTGCGGGCGGCGTGCGATCCAGAGTGCTCCAACGGAGAGGGCGCGATGGCCCCAGTCATGCAGCCCGCCGAGATCCAGTTCGCGCAGCGGCTGGCGTCCAGCGAGAAGGGCGTCCGCGACCGGGCGGTGAGGAAACTGCGCCAGTACTTGAGCGTGAAGACGCAAAGGGAGACAGGTGGGCGCTCGCGGGTGAGCCGTGCCACATGGAGGCCGTGCCGCCGGCCCGGGGCTCCGAGACTGTGCCTTCGGGGGCTGTGCAGCCGCCTGTGCGCTGCGCCTGAGGCGGCTCGCAGCCCAGGAAAATGGCTCGGGGTCTAGTCCTGTGCCGGACGTCAGTGACTGGCGTAGGGAGACTGATCCAGGTCTGTGGTCTTTGGCGCCCGCTGATCCGGACGCTAGGCTTGCCCCACTTCGCGGTTCTCGTCGTTGATTCCCACCTTTCTTTGACCACGACGTCTTTAGATAGTGGGGCACAGAGGACAGACAGCATCCTTGCCCTCGAGGAACTTTAGCTGCGAAGTGAGAGGGAGAGTGGCAAGTAGAGTAGAGCGCGTGTGTGCGGGAAAGGCAGTGAAGACCAGGGAACGGAAACGTGAATGAGGGACCTCCTCTCTGGAGGGAGAGGAACTGCGTGGAGAGCCTCATACGGGGATGTCCAACCGAGATCCGGACAGACCGGAGAGGAAGCCGGCCTTGCAGACGCAGAAAAGAGCTGAGCTTGGCCTGGGAACGGTGGGAAGACCAGTAAGTCGGGGAAGAGGGTGTTTTGAGATAAGGTTGAAAATGGAGGCAGTGACCAGATACATCAGGGCTGGGTAATTTGGCTTTTAACCGCAATGGAACGCCAAGGAAATATTTTATTTACCTTACTCCAAAGGGGTTCTGTAAACCCTGTGCATGCAGAAGGCTCTGTGCTGTTGGGGTTTTTGTTGCATCAAATTGCTTGAAGTTTCAATCGCTGATAGTACATTAGGAATCAGTTTAGAATAAATATTCCCTCATTGTGACATTCGTAGTTCATGTTGAACAGAAATCAAAAGAGCCACCCCCAACACCCCAGAAGAGAAATTGAAAACACTTTTTTTGGGAAATCTAATTATGAAGGAATGAAGACCAGTCTCCCTGATAGGGCCTGTTTACATGCCCGTCTTCAGGCTTCCTATGCCTGTGTGCCAGTGGTTCCTAAACCTGAGCTCTAGTCCAGACTTTTTCTACCTTTGGCTGAAATGTGCCCCGCTAGCCTGGCACTCCACCTGGTTGTCCCACATGCACCTCGCACTTCAAATTTCCTAGAAAGGGTATCCCCAAAGAACTTTACTCCTCCTGCTCCCCTGCCCTCCCATTTGGCCTCTAGCTGGACACAACGGATTACCCTGAACTCTCAGACATCCATCCTCCCTTGAACCTACCACTTTTCACTGTCTGAATTACTCAGTCCTGACCTGAGGAGCCTTTGTCTCATCCAGACTTCTGCCCCTGTTTGCTCCAATTCATCTGAATGCCACTTGTGTGCCCCTCACTCTGTATTTCACAAATCAGCCCAGGGCCTTCTTAAAGCAAATCTGATTGCTTGTGCCAACTTCAGAATTGGTGATATTGATATTGATTGGTGGCTAGGTGTGGTGGCGCACACCTATAATCAATCCCAGCGCTTGGGAGGCACAGGCAAGAGGATCATTGTGAGTTTGAGACAAGCCTGGGCTGCAAAGTGAGTTCGGGCTGCTTCACCTGCATAGCAAGATGCTGTCTCAAAAAGACAGAGAGTTTGGGGCTGGAGAGATGGCTCAGTGGTCTAAAGCCACCTACTTGAAACAAGCTTGGCAAATCACAGGGACCGTGGTTCGATCCCCCAGCCCCGCCCCCTGGTGGGCTGAGCTGGCCACACACACACACACAATAAATAAATGTAATAAATAAAAATAAATAAATAATTTAAAAAAAAAAAAGACAGAGAGTTTGTGGGTCATGGTATCTTTGTCTGCTATTCCACCCTCAGCCTGGTCATGACTGTTACATGCTTCATAAACCATTTATGGTTCCTCGTGTACCAAGCACCATTTCTTACCTCCGTGGCTTTGTGTCTCCTCACTGTGCAAAGAATCCAGTGCCTTCTCCACTCCCAACATTCAGCTCAGCATCAATTCCTTCAGAAAGTGTTCCCTAGTGACCTAGTGCTGTCTCTAATCTAGGATCTAACACCAGTGTCTGTACTGTAGTACTTGCAGCCTTGCTTAATTAGGCTTTGATGTGTTCTTCACCCAAACCCATAAGCTTCACATCCAACTTTATGAGGGCCTAGCAGTGGACAAGAGGAAGGACAGTTGCTGTCCTTCTGGTCCTGAGACCTCCAGGTACCCTGTTGCTGAAACTCCTCCAGTGAGCAGGGCAGGGACTTCAGAAGCAGAGGGGTCTGGCGTCCTGAAGGCATTCCGTACACTGCTGTGTTCTTGCCTGGTTAACACCCATCATATCCAATCTACATTATGTGGAGTGTAATGCATCTTCAAACACAATGCTGCAGAGTGTGGTTCATGAATAACAGAAGAAGTAAAGTCTGCCACAGCTGTGCTTCATCAAAATAGAAACACAAGTTTGGAAATAACTTGGCCTGACATTTGACTGTCATTGACAAGCTAAGACATTTTTGCATCCTGTTGGGAAACCTGAGATTTTATGGTATTACTGAAGCATCTATCCATCTATCAGCAACGTAGATAGGTCTATGATCTTTAAAAACAAAGTCAGAATCTTTGTACTGTTTACAACAGTGGGATCTAACTGAAGCTGGCCTGTTCCGAGTTGAGTCTGCCGTCGTGAAATAGTCCGCGTCCTCCTTTCTTAGATGGCACCTTTGCCTGGATTTAGCCATTCATTTCCTGTGTAGCAACATTGGTACATACCAGCTGTGTGCCATATTATATATCCTATTCCTGGCACTGGGAATATAGCAGTGAGCTGCAAAATTCCTACCTTTCTGTATTTTAAACATGTAATATCTAGAACAGTGTATCTTAAAGCCAGCCGTGGGACAGTGTCCTGTGGGTCTTTGTCTTGTTTTGGTGTCGTATGAAACAACAGTACATCAGTTGTTGGTGGTATGGTAGCTTTTAGTGGAGGTGACAGGACAAGAACTGGTTTTCTTACTGATACAATTTTCTCAAATGGGCTTTGGGAGTGTTTGGGCATGGGGTGGGTCAGCACAGGCAGCAGCCCCTCTGAAATGGCTCCTGCGTCAGTTTTTGGGGGAGAGTAGCTGTTCGGTGTTCTCATTTCAAAACTTAACTGCTATTTCCTGTGTCTGCCTGTCTTCACTTCATGTTCACCTCTTTCATTTTTAAATAACTAAACCTAAACTGTTGTCAGCAACTTGGTTGTATTATTAAATTAAGAAATTTGTCCCCCAGAATAAAAAGTTAAGATTCCACAAGCAATTGAGGAACAAAAGTATTGTGCTTTAGATTGGTATTTCGCTTTGCTTTAGAGTTTTGAAAAAAGTTAAATACTATTTCTCTCACTCTCTTTTTTTTTTTTTTTTTTTTTTTTAGTATTTAGTACAGGGTTTACAGGGTCCTACTACATAGATCGGACTTATGGTGATTCTTTTTTAGCTTCCCTAGTGCTGGAATTACAGGAATGTGCCACCATGACCGGTCTCAGTCACTGTCTCAGTGTGCCCCAGAGGCAGGGCTCTCTTTTCTTGAATTGTTTCAAAACTTAGTATTTTGTTACCAATGAGGTGAAAACAGTTTATTTTTAAATTGGATTTTATTGGTACATTTCAGATACACATAATGATCACATTCGTCATAATCTGTACCTGTACATGATATAAGTTGTTTTTCCCATTGCCCTACTTTCCGTTCAACCTCTCTTCCCCTCCCCATTTATAGAAAGTTTTGTTTCCATTTTTTGCTTTTCTCTCTCTTAAAAAACTTTTCCCTTCTTTCCTTTCTCTCTCCCCTCTCCTTTGTTCCCCTTCCCATTTGAATATTTTCTTCCTGTTTCCTGATACCTATTATAGGTTTTGGTTCTTATTTACACCTTTGGTTTCTCACACCAGAGAAACAATACAGTACTTACGTGTCTATTTTTTTTTTTTTTTAATTAAGAATGTGGTCTCAAGGTGCATCCATTTTCCTAGAAATGTCCCAAGCGTATTGTTCTTCATGGCAGAATAATACTCCATTGCATTAAAAAAACAAAAACAAAAAACACATCTTCATCCCCTCACCAACTGATGGGCCCTTGGGTTGTTTCCAGGATTCAGCCGTTATAGTCTGCCTATACAGAAATATGGGTGTGCATGTATCCCTGGGGTATGGTGCTTTTCATGCTTTTAGGAAGAATGAGAATGGAACCTCTAGTCCTAGGTTTTTGAGGAATATCTGCACTGATTGCACAGTGGTTGTTAACAGTCTGCATGCCCACCAACAGTGGAAAAGGGTTCTTTTCCCCCCACAGCTCTGCCAGCATTTGTTATTGGATGATTTATTGATAATAGCTAAAAATAACTTATAACTTATTTTTATATCTGTTGAAAATAGATCTTTCCAAATGAAAATGTGTTTTCATTACTTAGGATTCTTAACACTTGACAGGCAAGCCAAGCTAGGTTTTTGTTTTTCGGTGTTTTGGGACAGGATCTGGATGTGTAGCTCACGCTGACCTTGAATTCATGGTGATCCTTCTGAGTGCTGAAATTGCTTGTACCACCATACCCGACTTTTCCTGAAAGGCCCTGTGGCTGAGGGAATTCTGTTGATTTGACTTAAGAGGATTGCTGTAGCTACCTCCCCTCTACTATATGAGGTCTACTCAAACCGCTGCCTTTTTCTACAACCCAGCTGTCCTGAAAGTGGCTAGCTTGGGGGGGGGGGGTGACAATGCAGCTGCTTAGCAAATAGCAGGAGTGCCCCGAGCCTGACCTCTGGGGAACCCAATTTCTATTAATCTTCTTTTTGCTTGTAAGTTCATTAACGTTTGTGAAGAAAAAAAAAAAAAAAAGAAGAAGAAGAAAGAAAGAGAAAAAACAATAATCCTTAGGATTCTTCTGTAATCTCACAACTATTTTTGTTAAGGAATATATCAAACTTTAAAGTATCATCCTTTCTCTGTGTCTTTATTTGCCAGCCCCTGGCCTGATTGTCTAATCTGCCCCTTCCTTTTAGCTGGGTTCTTGGAAGCCAAATCCCAGGCATCCATCCCACTTGTGTTCCACATACCTTGATATGCATCCCTAAAGATAAGAACAGACTCCTTTCTTAACAACAACACGGCCTCTCTTAAGCCTTTTTAGTGTGCTGAAATACCAAACCACTGAGTTTTCCTGCCATCACATGTGATTTTTGTGACAAATTAGAATCCAGACAAGACCCCTTGTTGGCTTTGATTGGCTTCTAACAGCTCCTTCCTTTTTTTTTTTTTTTATTTTTCAGTGCAGTTTATCTATTAGGAGACATGGTTCATCTGTCATGTAGAGTTTTGCACCTTTGGGGTTTTGCCAGTTACATCCTAAGGTTTTTGCATGTTTCCCTGCACCCTGGATTTCCTGTAAGCTATAAGTAGATTTGACACAATCAAGGTTACTTTTAGCTTTTGTTTTTGTAAGACACTTAAACAGGTTGATTTGTGTGTTTCCTCTGGCATCTAATGTAGGATTACCTGTGGAAGTTCTGATTGAGCAGTAGAGGGCTGTCGATTTCCCTCCGTACCTTTTTATCCAAGGTTTTAGCAGGCTTGATTCTTGCTCATACCTAACAGTTCACTGGGGAAGTACATAGTTTTTGAAAATGATCAAAATAAGGGTCAGGTCACTATGACCCTTCTCAAAAAACAAAACCCAAACTACCCTCATTGGCTGTGCTCTGCTGGCACCTGTGCCCTGCTTAGACTTCTGGGTGTGACTTGTTTGTGATAAGAGGAAGGAAAACCAATTGGTGTATCATCTGCACAGCTCTGGATGGAAATTCACTTTGACTCCTTTCACTGTGATTTCTGTTATCTTGATTTTAAGTGGAAAATGATCACAGAAGACTCAAGACGCACCATTATAAAACTGTTGGTGAGAAAGGTCTTTAGCAAGTTGGGAATCTGTCTACGAAATAAAGTAATTGCCTATCACAGGAATCTGTTTGTGTCCTTTTTTTTTAAAATCATCATACTGAGTACTGAGATTACAGTGGTTAGAAGTGTATATTTGTCTGCATTAATTCAATTTATTCCAGTTTGCTACCCCCAAAAGATTTTTCCTGGCAGGCATAGTGGTACATACCTATAATCCCAGCCCTGGGAGGCTGAGGCAGAAGGACCACAAGTTCATGCCCACCCTGGGCAACTTAGTGTCTTATCAAGACCTTGTCTCAAAATTAAAACAAAATACTACTTTCTAGTAATACGTCAATAAAGGTCATTAGTAACACACATGGAAACTGGAAGATCTGTTTGTTTTCTAGTTTCATGGTTCATGGGCTTAGAAACATCATGAGCCTTTGCTTATCATACCATGTATGATTCCTGATGTTACTCAGCATATTATTTCATAGTACCTGAAGTGGCCCAAGGAGCTACAGGCTGAAGAAGTCTGGTGGCTGCATCCTATATAGGAAGGCAGAGCGGGAGCCCCTTAAAGGATCGATTCTGCCTGTGGCTCAAGGCTTGCTGTGACTGGAGAACCCTGCACCCTGTAGGGTTTGCAGGTCTTCTTGGCAAGGCCAGTGGACATTTTGATTGTGCAGAATGAGGTGCAGCTTGGAATAAAGTGTACCTCAGTGGGACCTGGCTCCAGAAGAGACCTCCCCTCATGAATGATGTGTTATGTTTGCCTTAGTTTAGTTCTGTTTTGTTAGCTGGGGATGGAACCTGCGGCATGCTAGGCACGTGCTCTTGCTGAGCTGCACCCCTATCCCTGTGGGTTAATTTCTGTTCTGATCACACTTGCTTCCTTGTGTTGCTCCGCACACAGCATGCCACCACTACTGCCCTCCCTATGGTCAGTGAAGCTGCATGTGTGGTAGGTAGCTTTTGTGTTTATTTCTAACAAAGGAAATGTGGTGCTTGCTTCAGCAGCACATACACCAAAAGTGGAACAGAGGAAATGTGTGCTTTACATTTAGAGATGTTAACACCAGTTTTGTGACAATTCTAAACTTTTAAGAAAGGAGGTACAGGGCCAGGGAGATAGCTCAGTGGCATAAGCGCCTGCCTGGTATGTGCAAGGTCCTGAGTTCAATCCCTGGTACAATAAAAAAAAAAAAAAAAGGAGGAGGAGGAGGAATAGTATGGAAATGCAAAAGAGATTTATTTACTTTTTTTGCTGTCTTTTCCCCTGCAGGAGGTTTCAGTCAAGAAGAATTTCTAAAAATATGGAAAGGACTCTTCTACTGCATGTGGGTGCAAGATGAACCCTGCCTACAGGTAACACGGCCCCCTTGTCATGTTTTTGGGTCTCTGCCATAGGGGAAGAGAGAAACTTCATTGTTGACCTCTGACATATCTTCAACAGATTGAAAATAAGTACTTGAATAGGTCATTTTCTCTCTTGTCTATATAGAAAGGAAGACAGCATTCACTTTCAGGTTAATTATCTTTTTAAATATAAAGGAAATAACAAATATAATAGGCTCAATCATAGATTTATTATGTCTCTGCCATTGTTTGGTACATTCTGTGGTAAGTTTTTCAAGTCTTGAGTTTATGTTTATGGGCAGAGGGTGTGGTCTGTTCTGAGATCCTGGGAGACCAAGCCCAAGGTGCGGGCCCACCTGGTCACAGCAGCCACCATGCTGTCCTGTAGGGTTCTTCCAGAGCCTCCAGCCAGGCCCTTGTAGCAAAAGACTATTTAGCCAGTAAAACTTGAAGGAAAATGCACTGGTTTCCAGAATGTATGTGTGACCCTTGCCTCTGTCTGCTCAGCCCTCCCATCAAAACTCTTAGGAGATAGTTGTCGCCTTCTTAAAAGCTTTGTTGTGCTGAGAGTGGGTCTGCCTTGGGAGTAGTAGAGGAGTGAGCCCTGCAGAAAAGCATGTACAGACCTCCATGGTAGAAGCCGCCTGGGTGGTGTTCACTTTCCTGGGTTTTCCTGGGCCGTCTTACCCCATCTGCCATGTCTTGTAGTAAAAACTTGTTTTGCTTTGTGATATTTCTTCTACTGAACATATTTTGAGTAGGCTAGCCAGGCAAGATTTTTTCAGAGTAACAATAGCTTTAGAAAAGGAGGAGAACCAGTGATCGGGGTACATCCTGTTCATGTCTGGGGTTCATTTAAAACAGATGAGGAAAACTGAGGCTAGATGATATGCTAGCAGTGCCAGCAAGGGTGGCTTATTCTTTGGTAACTCATGAGCAGATTTCATTTATTGACATTCTCTGAGGTGTAGGCCAGCCACTGAGTTTTCCACTGCATCTCAATGCCCTTCAGAGGGGTGTTTTTTTTTTTTTTTTTTTTTTTTTGCCCAGAACAGAGCCTGTAATGGGGGTCCTATCTAATCCTGGCCTTGCCCCCACTCTGACCAAGCCAGGCAGAGAACTTTGTCATCCCACAGGTGAGTCTGCAGTGAGAACCCAATGTCAAAGCACCAGTAGGGAAATCCTGCATCTTATCTCTTCTCTATTGGGGGGTCATGGTTGGATCTAGCTTAGTGACAGCTTGGCATGCTTTTTTTCTGCTGTAGGTCATACCAACTGCCTGGTAGAGGTGTGTTTTCAGACTTGCACCTTAGCATTTCCTCGAGATACATCCAATGAGCACAGCAGCACTTTGCAATTAGGAATTTCACATTTGGTGAAATCCAGATACCGAGTCACAGCCCTAGCAGCACAGCTCCTAGAACAGGAGTGCAGGCATCCAGGGTGCTGCGTCCTAGTGTGACCACAGTAACCTGATGTTTCTCCCCACTCACCTTCGCAGGAGGAGCTGGCAAACATGATTTCTCAACTCATCCACATTGTTAACAACTCAGAAGCTCGTAAGTACTGATGTTTTCCCAACTCCTTATTCATTGATCTAGTAACTTGCCTAGGAAATTAAGTTAGTATGATTTCTTCTTCCTTCAAAATTTCCACTCTCCAGGGTGTTAGCTGGTGCTGACACTGCATATGTGTTACATGATGAGCTATTCTTTTTTTTGGACTCATATTGATCCTCCTGCATCAGCCTTCCTAGCACTAGGATTCTAGGTGTATGCCACCGTGCCCAGTTTTTGACTGGGAAGATAGCTCGGCGGTCTCAGCACCTGCCCGGCAAGCGCAAAGACCTGGAACTAGGCTGGTGGCACATGCTCGTAATTCCAGCACTGGGGAGGCTGAGATAGGTGAACAACTACAAGTCTGAACTTTTAGCAAGACCCTGTATCAAATAAATAAATAAAATTAAAAAAAAAAAAAAAAGCGAGGGAGATGCCCTGAGTTGAATTCTGATTGGGAGATAGCACCCACCTTCCTGTTACTATGTTCTTGTGTAAATATGAGGAAAGTGATTGAATGTTATTGGCCAAAGTTGCTTGCTGCCCAAGAATTTATGATCCGAGTGAATAAACACTAGTTTGTTGTTCTCATTGTCTTCTCGATGTGTGGTCTTAGCTTCCATGGAAAACAAGCACTCAGAGCCTCTTGTTTTTTGCAGAGCACCTGTTCGTTCAGACCTTTTGGCAGACGATGAATCGAGAATGGAAGGAGATAGACAAGCCATGCCTGGACAGATACTATATGGTAAGGCCAGTGTGCCTTTGTCTGCACAAAAGGTGCTGTGTCTTAAACTGTAGAGGGAGGGCTAGCAAGACAGCTCAGCGGTCTGAAGCACCTGCTTAGGCGCCGTTTGATCCCCAGCACCACATTCTGTGCCAGCCCGGCCCTCAGGGTGGGCTGAGCAGGCCAAAAAAAAAAAAAAAAACAAAAAACAAAAAAAAACCCCAAAAAACAAACTGTGGAGGGCAGGGCTGCAGCTCTGTGGTAGCACCCTTGCCTACTACACACAAGGCCCCAGGTTCCATCCCCAGAGCTACACTGGGGGAAGGGAGACTGAGACAAGAGAATCAACGGTTTAGGTCAAACTTGAACATCTCAGCAACTCTGTCTCAAATTTTTTAAAAGGGCTGAACTACACCTCCAGCCTTTTTGAAAAACTTGAGACAGAGTGGTGAGTTGCCCAAGCTGGACCCAAACAGATAGAGCTCAATTTGAAGGTGCTGGGTTCAATCCTATCAAAAAAAACAAGCAAGCTGTGTGAAGACTTCCCGTGGGTGCTGTAGGAAGCCATATAGTCATGGACAGAACTGAGTGAATGCTGAAGGTGTTGGCTCAGGTCGCCCTGAGGGGGTTGGGGGAGGAGTTTGGGGCTCCTCTGTGAACGGTTTTCACATCTAGAAGTTGAATGTGTTTGTCCAGGGTAGGGCCTGGCTTAGGGCCGGGTGCTTGCCTAGTAAGTGATGCTGGCTTTGATCCCCAGTACATTTTTTCCCTTTTTCTTCTCTAACAAAATTTGTCTGTCTTTAGCTGATCCGCCTGGTCCTGAGGCAGTCCTTTGAAGTTCTGAAGCAGAGCAACTGGCAAGAAAGGTTAGGAAACTGCTTGAGTTAGTAAATTTGATGGCCTTGAATACTTATGAAGGCTGGAGGTGCAGGTCCGCTTGTGTAGGGTCCCTGAGGCCCTGGTTTTGATCCCTTGCACGATGGAAAAATAATTGCAGGAAAATACAAGGATATTTTGTACCTACTACAAAATGTGTTCTTACCCAGAGAGGACTTAATTTCCGATAGAGGCATAAAATAATTACACCCATCTAACAAGTTAACATTTTATAGTATTGTAAGGGCAATACTTTTTGCTGTCATGCAGGATAAGCACTAAATATTGTTCTGCCCTGGGGAACAGAAAGGAGTTGGCATGCTTTCACTAAAAGACCATATGTGTCTTTCTCTTCAGCCAAATCCAGCTTTTCCTAGATGTCCTGGTGAAAGGGCTCCTGTGTCCTGAGAGTCAGTCCCCTGATGATGTGAGGTTCCACTTCATTGACATTTACCTGGACGAACTGTCCAGGGTCGGAGGGCGAGAGGTAAGAAGCAAGTGGACCTTCTGCCCAGTGTGATGAGGCCACAGGTGCTGAGGGAATCGTCAGTAAAACATGGCTGCCTATGTACCAGTGACTCAGTGGCTTAAATTAATTCAGCCACTCCCCACCAGGGCTGTGACCTAAGAAGCTATTGGGACATGTGTGACAAAGAGTTAAACACTAAGGATGTATGTGACAGTTTTATAAACAAGATTGAGCCCAGCCCAGTTGCCCACAGCTGTAGTCTTAGGAGGCTGAGACAGCAGGATTGCTTAAGCCCATGAGTTTGGGCCATCCTGGGCAACATAAGTAGAGTCTGTTTCTCTAAAACTTTTTTTAAAAGAAAACAATTAAATGAAACCTACAGTCTCACAAAGAATTATGTGACACGGAGAGCCCTCAGGGTACATATGGGGGAGCAGTAGCAAGAAAGGCACAAGGCAAAGTTATGCAAATGGAATCTTTACATTTGTGCTCATATGGAGACAGATAAAAGGCTGACAAGGAATACATTCTTAGTACTTGAACTATTTGTACTTTCTCTTTCACAAATACTCTGGTGAACTCTTTTTTTTTTTTTTTTTTTAATTACGATGTTATACTTTATTAAAAGCCAGAGGTCAGGGAAATACCTCTGTGAACTAAGTGCCTGTCTGGCAAGCATAAGGACCTGGGGTTTGATTCCTGGTACCATGTGTTGAGCTGGCCCGATTCCGAGCTGACTGAAACCGGGAATGGTGGTATACACATGTAATCCCAGCGGTGAGGAGGCTGAGACAGGATCACTATGAGTCTGACTGTGTAGTGAGACCCTGTACCAACCAATCAAGCAAATAAATGATATTTTTTAAAAAGCCAGAATGTCTCTGTATCACACTTGAGATAGCATTGGCAGAGGCTCTCATGGGAAAGCACATGTGTGCAGCGCTGGCTGGGGGTTGTAGGTGGCCCAGGCCCCTAGCAGCTCAGATGAAGTGTGCTCAGGTCTGTGTGAGACAGTCGTGTCTGTGTCTGGTTCCTCCTAGGAGAAATGCACATGGCTCCCTTACGAGGTGTCAGGAAGGAGAAGGGCTTTGTTTTCCTAATTGTTTCCTGTCTACAATTACAGCTGTTGGCTGATCAGAACCTCAAGTTCATTGACCCATTCTGCAGGACTGCGGCCAAGACTAAGGAGTAGGTGTTTTCACTGCTGGGTTGATCTTTAGGGGTTCTGTGAGAGATGGAGCTGGGCAGTGGGTGGCTACCCCAAGTGGAGATGCCATGCTTTGGTTTCTAATGGTGAGACATTTTAAGTGTGGAGCCTTGATTCGGCCTGAAACTCCAAGAGCCCTGCCTGCTTTTCACTGCAGTTTCCATGCACGTGTCCAGGGCTCCAGGTTTCTGCAGCCTGGTGATGGCCATGTACCAGGCCCAGCACAGTCACAGCTACAGTGCTCTGATGCTCCCACTGTGCTCCCTCGGATGGGTGAAGACCATCATGGTGACCACATTCTCTCCCTGTGCTTCTACTGCCAGCCACATCTTGTTGCAGAGGATAGCTAGTGGTGTCTTTGAAGTCATCATAAATCAGTCTTCCTTAGTACCTGAAGAGACAGTAGAGGAAGAGAAAATAAATGGGGTTGATGGTGACCTTTGTGGAGAAGAGATTGCTGGAAATGAGACACCATGCAAAAAAGCAGTGAGGAACAAGGCAGGTGAGACAACTCCTTTAAGTGGGCTTTTTTTTTTGGGTCTTTATTTTGAGATTCTACATCCCTAAGTTGTCCAGGATGTCCTTGAACTTTGAATCGTCTTGCCTCAGCTCCCAAGTAGCTGGCCATACAGGTGTGTGCCACCATACCTGACTCATCTCCATCTTTCTGCTTTGGTTTTTTGTTTCCTTTTGTAAATCCTCATCAAGCGAACACTGAGCACACCCTGGAGTTGGTGAGTGGAAAGGGCTCTCTGCCTGGGACTCCTCCTGAGAATGGAAATAGGGTGCGGTAGAGCACCTGTGCCTATTGGGGGTGTGGGGTGGGGCACCTGAGACACCAGCGTGTGAACTCGCGCATCCTGTGTCTCGGAATTTCAGCACCCTGAGAGAGTTTTGCTTCAGGCGCTGTTGTGTGGGGTGCTCTGTGTGCTTGATATGTGTGAGCACGTGTTTTGCGTGCACTCGCAAGAGCCTCCTTGTGGGAGACCACTGCGCGGTCATCAGGAACACAAGCTTGCTGCTCCCCACTGTGCTGCCTCCTGTTCTCCTTCCCCAACTCCTGGCTTCCTTAAGGTTCTTTCTCTTGGATGTCTTAAACTCCTGCATGGGCTGATGCTGTTCCCACTGCTGCTTTATGTCCCCAGTGGCTTATGGCATCTCGGTGCCCAAAGCAAAGTGTCAGATCAGAATTCACCACCCTCAAATACTTTCTATTCACTGAGAAGCAGTTTCTGAAAACTAATGACTAGTGGAAATCCAGTAGTCTTTAAAGCAAGGCACAAAACAGTATGTAGAAGGAGACTAATACATACCTGTGCCTATAAAAATCCAGAAGAAGGTCAGGGAGATAGCTCAGCAGCATAAGCACCTGCCTGGCAAGTGCAAGGTCCCGAGTTTGATCCCTTGTACCAAAAAAGAAAAACAATCCTGAAGAAACCAGAACTCATGCTTGTAATCTTAGCGGATGGCTAAAGCAGGAGAATTGCTAGTTTGAGGCCAGCTTGGACTCATTGCAAGACCCTGTCTCAAAAGAAGTTAAATTAAAAATTTTTTAAAAATAATTTGGAATGATATTTGTGGTAGAATTATGGGTCTTCCTGGTGGGCAACCTTGTGAGAAGTTAGTGTACCACTACAGTTTAGGCACCTTGCCAACATGATACTCCTACTAAAGTTCTGGATTTTGAAACATTTCCAATTTTTGGGTAAAGAATGCTCAACTGTAAAATCTGAAAATATCTAAAATCTCAAGTGTTCTTAAATCCAAAACACTTCTGGTCCCAAGTGTTTCTAATAAAAGCTGCTCAGACAGCGGAGCAGATTTCACCATGGCCCTGAACTTGCTGGCTCTGGCAGCTGTCTCCTGAGCGCCCATCCTCCATGCAGTCCGGAGTGGCTCGGCCCTGGTCCACTGGTTCAAATCCCTGGACTTGGGCTGAAGGGCAGAGTGCATGGTGGAAAGCACCAGTGTGCCAGGGGTTTCTGCAGTTCCGTCTCTGGTGTAACTGCGATAACAAAAGCACAGGGTGTACTTTCTCCCACAAGAACCTTCATTACAGGGGCCAAATGACCGGAGTGTCGTCAGGGCATTTTAAGCCCAGGGGCAGGGTTTTTCCCTTTGAAAACATCTGTGTCATTGAAAGATACCTAGTTAGGTGCAGCCTGTGGGGAAGAATCATGGCTGTGTACTTCCCATGTCAAGAATTTTGTCTTTGGGTGTGTTTTGACAGCACTGGGCAAGTGCCACTCAAGGAGAGATGGAATCAGTGGTGACAGAGAAAGAGATGACTGTGGAGCTCTCAAGGACATGGGGCGGCTTCTTCAGGTGGGGCAGTTGTTGCTATTTATAAAATAGAGATTGAGGGGGTGGCCTGTCTGGAGAATTAGGTTAGGGGCAGAGCTGATAAGCTGCAGAGCCTGAGGTTTAAGTCCTTTTTAATTCCTTTTGTCACTGATGTCACCTTCCTTAGAATGAGCTTATGAAAGAGACGAGGCCTGGCAGTGCATACCTGTGATCTCAGCACTATGGGAGGCTGAGGCAGGAAGATTGCAAGTTCTAGCCCATCCTGGGCAACTCAGCAATTTGCTGAGGTCCTATCTCAAAATTAAAGCTAAAAAATGGATTGGAGGTATAGCTCAGTAGAAAGGCCCTGACTTTGATCACTGGTACTGCAAAAAACAAAAAGAAGACAAGTTTAAATGGGGTAGAATGTTGGAAAACATGAGTCTTTCAATTTTCAGTTGCTAAGATCTATTACATTTCATACAGCAGTACTTTTCAAATAGTTTCCTGTGTTACCAAATACATTTTGGAAGTCTAGATTAAGTTCTTAAAAAAATGCATCTAGGCAAATTTTCTTGCATATGTTATATCACAACTGAAAGGAGGGCCCTGGTGACCAGCATCAGCATGCACACTGAACCTGCTCTCGGCACAGAGGGTCTACTTTTACTGAGGGACACGGACCGCAGGCAGTGTTGTGTAGCCACCAGCTTATGCTGTGTTTCTGTTCTTTATAGTTTGACTATAAAGCCATTGCTGACCGACTCCTAGAAGTAACCAGCAGGAAAAACATCTCTCCCATCAACCGGAAACACCTTTGCAAGCTAATCAAGAGGTAAGCAGTTGGGTGGGAGGGTTCCTTCAGTTATGTCCTTTATGTCCTGGTGTAGACCCAACTCTGCTTACCTTTTTTCTTCATTGCTTTTAAATATGTGTGTGTGTGTGTGTGTGTGTGTGTGTGTGTTGCTTTCCTCGTGGGAGTTGGTACTCGTACATAGTGCATCTTTTTTGTTTTTTCATCTCCTCCCCCCTCCATTTCTTGGTCTCCTTTCCATTTGCAAAAGATCTGTCTCCATGCTTCTTATTTTGTTCTTTAACTTATTGATACTTTAGAGTTCTCATATAAAAGAAACCACGTGACATTTAAGCTTCTGTGTCTGATTTAGTTCGTTTAACATTATGATCTCAAGGTGCACCCGTTTCCTACAGATCGTTCAACTTGGCCCTTCTTTATGGCAGAGTAGTACTCCGCAGTGTGTAAATGCCACACTTTCTTTTACCTTTTCTCTGTTGATGGACGCATGGGTCACATCCACACAGCTATTGTGAGTTGTGCTGCTCTAAGCGTGGATGTGCATGGATCACTGCAATAAGAGGTCTTTAACTCTGGATAAGGTACCTAGAAGAGCAGCAGCAGTATTGTAGGGAATTTCTGGTTCAGTTTTTGGAGGACTCCACACTGCTTTCTATAGTGGTTGTACCAGTTTACGTTCCCACCAGCATTTGTTGGTTTCTTCATGGCAGTATAACATGTGCATAAATAGAGGGTTTAATGAAAACAGCTTCTGCTGCTCCTCTAGTTCTATGTAGATATTGCCATGTTCCTCTCTCAGCTACTTTTATGTCATGTGAAGACAATCCCACGACTGCCACAAGTGACAGATCAAGGGGCAGTGGTGCCAGTCTGCTGTGCAGGTGTCATCGCAGGCCACTGAGACAGACGGGGTCAGACACTTTCCCCTGACCCTTACCTCTCAGCACACAGAGTTGTGCCAGGAGTGTCAGTTAGTTCAGTAATCAGTGCTGATGTCGCCAACTGCAGTGCCTTGGTGGAACTCACGCAAGTCCCATGGCGTTCTGTGGCTAATGGTGAATCTCAGATATTTTATCATTCTTTTTATGGACACTGCCATGGGTCATTCAGATTAAGAAAACCCAAGAAGGTAGCTTCTCTTTCTCCATGCCCATGCCCATGCATGTACATGTACGTGTGTGTGTGTGTGTGTGTGTGTGTGTGTGTGTGTGTGTTGGGGGTATCCTACAGGATGAACCCCTGGCCTTCTCACTGAGCTACATCCCCAGCCTGTCTTTATTTTTCATTTTGAAACAGAATCTTGATAATTTGCCCAGGCTGGGCTCAAAACTAGTAATCCTCATGCCTCTGCCTCCTAGAGGGCTAGGATTGCAGGCATGTTCCCCTGTACCCAGCTACTTTTCTTCACCTTATAGCTGGCTCACCAAAGGCTGGGGGAGGCAGCAGGCAGAGGCTATCGCTGTCAGTGCTGGACACAGCTGCTTTCCCATGCTGTGGCTTGGCCTTTGCCCCGCACACACCGGGCAGTCCCTTGCCCTTTGTGCTGGTTGGAATGTGCTAGAGTTGGTGGGGAGCACACCAGTGTGTCTCAGCAGAGATCTAAACTCTTGCTGCCTTTAGAAACAAGGGATGAAACATTTGAGTTTTTCCATGACTTTATTTTATGTACCATCAAGGCTCATGAAGCTCCATGTCCCCTATGGGTGGTGATGGAACAATTTTCTCCTGGGCTGGCCCCTACTGTACATCAGGTCTCTCACCTTCCAGAGGGAACATCCTCTCTGGAGGAGAAGGAAGTGAGCTGATGACATTCAGGTGGCCAAATGTCAGATTGCAGTGCAGTGTGTTGTGCAGGTCATTGGTAAGATGCTTACCCAGCATTCACCGGGCCCTGGCTCCCACCCCTAGCACCTTGTGTCTAGAAGACAGAAAGTAAGTTTCTCTGGACTCTTGTGCTGTTTTCTTTTTCAGGTTCCAGGACCTCTCTGAAGGTGAGGAGAGTTGGACTATAATTCAAAATGTGAACCCCACTGACAGCAGCTCTGCCAGATGTTGAGAAATGGGGTTCAAGGGCACTCACTGACAAGGTCTCTTAAGGATGAGAGCCCTGACCAGCACTCGCCCTGGTGCAGCCTGAGCCAGAAGCTGTGGGAAGTATCCGAGTGCGGGTTCTTCACTGCCTACCCACTGTCCATTCTCGGCACCCTATACATGCAGGGCCTGGGGCCAGGCTGCACACAGTCCTGTGGAGTAGTGCAGTGTTCTGTTTTGGTGTTTGTTCTTTTTCAAACTGGGTGAATCTTTATTGGCCTAGGAAAGATTACTTTGTGTTTGTATGTATGTGGTTCTGAGGAGCCAAACCCAGGAACTTCCCATTAAGCTACATCCCCAGCCCTTTTTCTCTCTCTCTCTCTCTCTCTCTTTTTTTTTGCCTCCGAATGCCTTCAGGGCAGGTTTGGCTGGCTTGAATTGTGAAGATCGAACCACAGCAACCTGAGCCTGACTGCTTTGTTGAAGCAGCCACTTAAAGAACTGAGCTAAGGGGCAAGCCCCCTTTTTTTCTTATTTTGAAGTAGAGTCTTGCTGGGTTACCCAGGCTAGACCTCAGCCTCTCAGAGTGCTAGGATTATAGGATGTGCCTAGTTTTACAACAGCCTGTGCCCCAGGAAAAGGTGATCACAAAAATGAAAAAAACTGAGATCAGATTTCTGTTCTTCATAAAAGATCGAATGAACTGGGTGTGGTGCTGCACACCTATAATCCCAGTGCTCGGCAGGCTGAAGAGGGAAGATTGTAAATTTAAGCCCTATTTGGACAATTTAGCAAGACCCTGTCTCAAAAATAAAAGGTCAGAAAAAAAAATAAAAATAAAAGGTCTGGGGCATAGCCCAGTACAAAGGCCCTTCAATTCCTAGTCCACCAAAAAGAGCAAGCTGCTAAGCTCAGTGACATCTGTACAAGTTGATAATCCCATTGTCTGCTCCTTGCTGGGCACTTACAGTTGGGGATTGTATCACAGAACTAGGATCTGCACTAGAGCCAGGGCTGAGCTATAGAGGGGTCAGCCATGACTTGTAACCCACACCTTGTTTGGTTGAGAAACCCGCAGTTTTTTAATGTGTGTGATTCTCTACCATCAGCTTCTTCCTCTCGAGTGGAGGATGGAAAGGATGCAATTCATGCACAGAACTCAGGGAAGACCCAGATCCCAGCCATAGGCAGAGTTGAGAGTGTTGCTCTGGTCCTCTCAGATGGTGCATCTGCACTTGGTTTCCCTGAAGAGTTTTCTGGAGATGAAAATGACCGTGCCCTCAGCCAAGGAAGAAAGAAGAAAAAGAGAAGTAAATCTATCAAGCCAGCCGAGCTGGAAATGGAGGGGGGTAAGCTGCAGGGCTTTCAGTGAGGGGCTGGGAAAAAGGTACACTGTTGCTGCATGTGCCACTGAGGCCTGGGCTACTAAGTTTAGTCCTCATGAGTTACTGGTAGAGCAAAGTTTTCATTTTCAGTATCTGAAAAGTAAAGTATTTTGTCTCCCGAATTTTCTAAGGAACCATGATTCCAGCTTCCCTCATCCAAGGGCAGTGTCTTAATGGTGACAGCATGTGCTACCCTTGGGAGCAGTTCTGCTGTGCTTTTGGTTTGGAGTTTTTTTCCTGAGATTTGGTTTTTTTTCTTCAGTGCTAGGGACCAAACCCAAGGCCTTGAGAAAACTAAGCAGTGCACTCTGGTTCTGATCTTCACCCTGGCCTTCAGGCTCAGCCTCTATGGGTTTGACCTTCTGGCCTGAAAATTATTGGAAACCAGGGTGTGTCAGTCCCTTTCTACTGAGGTGGACATAAGCAAGATTCATAGTCACAGTCAAAGGGAAAAAGCAGGTGCTAGGCGAAGTACTCAGCACATGGACAGGAGGCCAGAACTTCTCTGGTAGTAAAAGCTGCAAAACCAAGGGGCTTATCTCTGAGCCTATGTAGTATCCCCAAGAAAATCCCCAAACTGTGCTTGCTTATCAACTGTCTCAGAATCAAAGCAACACTCACCTGGTAGAGCTAGGAGCTTGTTTATTGTTCTGTGGGTCTCTGTAGGAAACAAAGCCAGTCTTGCTGAGGATAAGGACAGTGAAGACAGCCTTCAGAGGAGAAAGAGGAAAAAGAGGAAGAAGAATCATGTCCAGCCCGAGATCTGCAACTCCAGCAACGTATTCACCTCCCTACAACAGAGCAAGAATGGTGAGGCCTGGGCTGCAGAGGCTGCCCCCAGCCCTGGAGACAGGGGCAGCTTGGAGCGGCCCTGTACTGCTGCTGGGCACAGCAAAAGGAAACGGCAGAGGAAGAGGAGCCTGAGGGCACAGGGGGAAATGTGGGAACCCACAGTGTTGCTCTCTGAGGACAGTGGGATTCCTCCAGTCCCTGCCACCCAAGCTTCCCCAGCCAAGGGAGCCCATGCTGCCAAAAGAAAGCGAAAACTCGGGGCTGTCCCCATCAATGGCAGTGGACTGGCCACACTGGCTTGGCCTCAAGCACAAAAGGAAGGAAACGATGGCCAGGCCACCCTACCCCAGTGCAGGGGGCCTCAGCACAAGACGGCGGAGTCAGGAAACCACGACCTCTGTCCTGTGTCCAACCAGAAAATGGCAGTCTCGAAGAAGAGGAAGAAAATGAAGGAGGTGTCGAACTTGGTGGAGCGCAATGGTGTCCTGAGGTCCCGGGTCAGGCAGTTCCAGGCTATGGTAAGGCAGGCAGGACCTAGGAAGATGAGCTCAGACTTGTAGACAGGCATGTTCATGGGCCACTGCCGCCCAGGGGAGGGAGGAGGCGGGGACAGTCAGACCTGGATGGGCAGGAGGGCAGCAGATAGAAAATGTCCTGGGCCTGGCAGGTGCCCATCTCAGTGGCCATGCAGTTAAAGGCCCAGGCCTCCACTACACACTGGCCTTGTCATCACCTGCCTGGCCCCTCTGACACAGGATGCACACAGCATGTGTGTCTCCAGTGAGGGAAAGCAGGACCTGGGCTTCTGACCTGATCCCGGCCCTGCCCTGGCTCTGACCTGATGTGCACCCATGCCAGGTCAGAGTCCAGAGGATGGCCCCGCCATCTGTGTCCACACTGTCTGTTCATGACAGCAGAGTAGGACAGGGTGACAGACCTTAGAACTCCTAAAGCCAGAAGCAAACACTTCTTTCTGGCCCTTGCAGAAAGGCCTGCTTCCCTTTGCTCAGTGCTAGCGTCCCCACCCTGCTGTGCAGTGGCGGTGACCTGGGGCCATCCCTTGGTGGCTGGGTCCATATGTTAAGCAACAGGACAGCCTCAGCAAATAAGAGCAGAGTGCAAAACTGAGCATCAGGCATCTCTAGCCCAGACCCCCACTCTTAGTATCACCCTTTGTGGCACATCTGTTATTCTGGCTCTGGCAACCTGCGCTGTTACCCAGGAATGCTTTCTGTCCTTGTAGGACCTGTTGCCAGCAGCTGGCTTGTGGCTATGGGGACCACAGGAGGATACCTGGGGCTGCAGAAGGAGATGGTAGACCTCCAGCCAGGAGAATACAGATTTGTGGGAAACACCTCCAAGGCACCCTACACTGGGTGCTGCTGTTGCATAAGCAGGACCCTTGAGGGGATGTGTGGCCATGAGCGGTTGCGGGCTAACCCACCCAGGAGGTGCCATCTTCAAGAAGGGGACCTACAGAGCCTCTTTAAAGACAAGGCCTCTCACTATGTAGTTCAGGCTAGCTCAGGCACACTAGCCTAGGGTGGTCCTGAGCTAATGGTGATCCTTCAGTGTTGGGATGCCAGTTGTGCACCACCATGCCTGGCTGATTGCTGTACAAGCTGAATTATTTAACTGATAGACTTTAAAAGGCAAAAATATGGAAAACATGGTGCTTAAGTTTGAAGGTGAAGACAATAAAAGGCAGTTTTTATTGCCAAGGAGTCATTTGTCCCTTCAGCTGGGCTAGGTGGAACAGCATCCATTGTGTATGGAGTCTGCACTCAGCTCAGGTCAGGGCTTTGGACAAACTTGGGACAGGAAACAGCGGCTAGGGACAGAGGCTGGGTGGGGGGGTCCTCGGAGGCCCTGCCTTGCTGCCATGGCCTTACTTCCAGTGTGTATGGTATGTACCCTCTCTTTTTCTTCTTTGTCTTTTTTGAGACAGGTTCTCACTATTCAGTTCAGGCTGGCCTCAAACTCACATTGATCCTTTTTGCTTTAATCACCTAAGTTCTGGAATTGCAGGTGTGTGCTGTCATGCCCAGCTAACCCTGCTCTTGGTTTCTTGCTCCTCAAACAGGGAAGCAGCGGAACTCTCACTTCTTTGAAGAAACCGCTGAGGACTGAGAATGACTTTGTGAAGTTCAGCACCCCCATCTTACCAAAACCCCTGTTCTTTAGAAAATCAAAGAGCATCTCTGCTGCCTGCTCTCCAGGTGCTGTCATCCAGGTGTGTCCTCTGCAGCACCCCACCCACGGGGCACAGCCCAGAGCTGTGTCCTGCCTGGTAGCATCTCCCTTTGTGGGGCTGGGTGGTCACACACATGCGCTTCACAGGATGGGCCTGGTGCTTTCAGAGCCAGCTCTTGGTGAGTATGATGGTGTCACACAGGAGAGCAGCACAAGGAAGGGAGCCACGCAGCCTTGTAGGAAAAATCAGGCAGTGCTTCACAGTGCAACAGGCTTAGCTTCAAGACATTTTTCAAATGCAAGCAAAAATAATTTTTCTTTTGCCTTAAGCCATCTCCCCATCCCCAGGGTGAGACAGGATCTCAGTCATTAGTTGTCCCAAGTGGGTCTGGAACTTTCCATCCTCCCTCAGCCTCACACCATGCTGGGATGAGAAGTGTGTGCCACAGCCTAGGAAGTCTGGTGGCAGGGGCCTGACGGACCCTAGGGGTGGAGAGTTTTAGAGGGTAGAATCTGTTGCTGTCCCTTTGTATCTGTGCAGTAAAACCAGGTCCTTTGGGGCCCTTCCTCCCAAGCAGATTCTTGGAAAATCTCAGGGAGACAAAGCCCCTCAATCACAGTGTGTTACTTACTCTTGCTGCTACTGTGAACTTTTCTCCTGTAGCCAAACAAAACCCCACCCAGCTCCAAGAAAGTCACCTTTGGGCTGAACAGGAACATGACAGCAGGTGAGTTATGTGTGCTTCACGGGTCCTGGGAGTGTGAGACAGATGTCCCATGACCTCCTCAGAAGTCACCTGGTGAAAACATAGGGTCAGAAGCCAGGTGCCAGGAAGACTCCACACAGCATCAAGTGTTTTGTGAGGCCATATGGGGACTTCCTAATCTTCTACTGTTTCTCCACCTGCTAAAATTCAGAAACACGTGTTTCCTGTAAGGAGCAGGGAGAAGAGGGGCATCCCAGCCTTCTGCTTTCACAGTGGGCCATGGGTTTGTTTTCTAAAGTTTCTAATGTGTTTGGAGACCTGGCACTGGGAGCAGGAGTGTCTGAGATACCACGGGCACATGTCTAGCAGGCAGAGGTGCATGGAGTCAGTGACCAACTGTCCCAGGCAGCCTAGCCCATCACAAACCCTTGCCCCAAGGGTTCTGCTCTTTGGTGTCTCCCCTGCATGAGAAGCAGCCTTGCTGCTTGCCTTTCTCGGGTCTATGGGATGTGAAGGGCAGATCTCACACCCAGTTACCAGGGCCTTACTCTCCCTTGAGACAGAGTTTAAGAAGACAGACAAGAGTATCCTGGTCAGCCCCACAGGCCCCTCCCGCGTGGCCTTCAACCCTGAGCAGAGACCCCTCCATGGAGTGCTGAAGACGCCTGCCAGCTCACCTGCCAGTGCAACGCTGGGGGCCAGGACACCACTGGTCACCACTCCAATGAGAAGGCCGAAAGCCATGGACTTCTTCTGAACACACAGAGCCTCCTTTTACAGACTGCTTTTGTACAGAGTATTCTATAAATTATAACTTTCAAAACATGGCGTTTTATTTTATAAGCCCCCCATGGATGAAGTGCTCGAGGTGCTAAGCAGGGGTGGCCCAGCCACCATGTCCTGTGCCTCCTGCAGGTCAGGGCCTCTGCTGTTCCTGTGCTGCACATACTCGGGCTTCTGCGACTGTCACCTTGGGCACCTCAGCCATAGCCACTAGGGAGAAAAAGAGGCCATGCATAAGGCCTGGGACATGAGGGCTTGAGAGGGCTGGTGTGCCAGAGATCTTGAGGGCTCTTGAGAGCATACGGGCCTGGTTCCCTGGCCTGGGGCTCTCTGGGAAGCTATCTGATGGGACGCAGCACTGAGCAGCAGCTCCGTAGCTTTTCTGCCTGTCATTGGTGGGCAGCTCTATCCTCAAGGCTTTTCCTCACTTGCCAGTCTCTGTCCTCCAACCTCAGCAGAGTCCATGGTGTTTTCTGAGGGTAACATCTCCCTCTCTCCCCTGGGGCCTCCTGCCCTTGTCCTCTGCGGAGGCCTGCGTGACTGGTACCTCACATGTACTTACCTCTCAGACCCATGTGACTTGGTTCCCGGTGTGGTCAGCACATCTGATCCCAAGCTTCTGCTAGGCAGGAATGGGTGCCTCTTATCCAAGCATAGCACTTGCACTTAGCACTTAGGTTTTCATACTGCTCTTTTCATCTGCCTGGTCAGGGTGGAAGGTGCCCAGGCTTTGGGTAGGGAAACTGAAATTTGACTTTAATTGCCTATCTTTGCAAAAGTCACTGATTTTATTCAAAGAAATAATGTTGAGCTCAGGAGATGGACAAGGAATGGATTCAGGACCAAGAGACCACATGGGCATAGTCACTGAGACCCACCTCTTCCATGGTTTTTCTTTGAGACCAGAGCCTTGCAGTGTAATTCACGCTGGCCTAGAACTCCCAGCAATTGTGTCTTAGCTTCCCAGTTCTGGGATGACAGGTGTGTACCCCACACCCAGCTTTTCCTCCATGGCTTACACACCTAGAAATTCTAGGTAGAAGGAAGTCACATGGTCCATGGTTTGGGCTTATGAGCTATACACTGCCAGCCCTGCCATGTTCTGCTTGGGAGATCCTGTGGTCTTCCCAACAGAGGACCTCAGGACTTTGCCAATAGGGCAGCAGCTGTGTCCACCCTCAAAGTTTGAGGGCAGGCATCCCCTGTGCAGGAGAAGACTGGCCCCAGGCTGTTGGCTTCCATAAGTGGCTTCGTTCCTGCCCTACTCTAAGGAAGCTTCATCATTAGTAAGCTGAAAGAGCTAACAGTGTGCCAGTGTAACCCTGTCCTTGTAATTTTTCTAACAATTCTCATTCCAACTTTTCAGTTGGGCCACATGGCCTGCAGAGTGCTGTGGCTCTGGGATCCTGACAAGACCTGGGTTGGCAGTGGCACCTTGGTTCTGGGGATGATGGGAGGAGCTGTTCTTGCAGATGACCTGTCAGTCCCTCAATGCCCTGGAACATCCCGCCAAGGGCACCTTGTGAGAGACCTATTGGCTCAGAATGTGTCTTGGGTCCTTCAAACCCAAGTTCTGTGTGTAAATCAATGTGTTTCATTTATTTACTTATTTATTGGTACCAAGAATTGAACTCGGGGCCTTGTACTTACCAGGCAGGCACTGCTGCTGAGCTATATCCTCGGCCCTAGGCTTTTAAAAATAGTTTTATTAGTATAGTACTTCTAATGCCTAAATTTTCTAGCAATAGAAAGTATTTTTAATTTTTTAATTACACAAGAATATGTCAGTGAAAATGTATTGAGTGTGCCAGTTTTGTTTGACATGTGATTTGCCTAGGTAAACCTGGCAAAGGGACTTGAGGCCCAGAAGAGGAAATAATTTAGTGCTGGTGGTCTAACAGCAGTGCTTAGTAAAGCCGTGGTCTCCTTCTCTGCTGTACAGCTCATCTGTTTAGTGCAACTCAGTCAGCAGACCTGACAAATACTTAACCTCTAATTTCCTTTTTTTTTTTTTTTTTTTTTTTTTTTGCGGAACTGGGGATTGAACTCAGGCCCTTGTGCTTGCCAGGCCAGTGCTTATTCTACTGAGCCATCTCCCTGGCCCCTACCTCTGTAATTTCCTGAGCTAGAGCACAGGAAGAAACATGAACTGTGAGCACTCACCAGGCCAGGTCTGCCTTTTAATTTTTATATGTGCTTTCTCTGAGTGACCTGACTGCCAACGAAGATGATGGCCTATAGTCAGATTGTCTCAGTGTCTGGAAGGTGTATCAGTTCTCATGAAAGCAAATCAAAAAATCAATCTTTGCCCTCAGAACTGTATTTGATAATTGGCTTTTTTTTTTTTTTTCCTAGTTGTTTTGTCTCGTACTGAGTATTAAATCCAGGGCCCTTGCACTGAGCTATATCCCCAGCCATTTATTATTTTGAGACAAGACCTTGCCAGAAGTTGCCCAGACTGGGCTCAAACCTGTGCTTCTCCTGCCTCAGCCTCCCACAGTCCTGGGATACAGACCCTCACCATGTCCCACTTTGATCTGGACTGTTTGTATGCATTAAAATGCTCCCCTCTGGGAAGTCCTAACCCATGGGGTGCAGGTGTCAGTCCTGTCTGAAAATAGCACTGGTGCCCTGCCCTGTGCCTTTTCCCAGAGCTACTGGGCTCTCAGGAGCTGGTCACCAGCACTGGCCTGCAGCTGTCACTACCCTGACCACACTGCTGACTTAATGGGCCTGGACTTGAGACAATGAGTGGAGCATTGCCAGGGCCCCAGATGGTGCCCCCAGCTGCATCCGGCAGTGGCTGCCTCTGGGCACTTAGGGTACATGGGCATTGCTGGGCAGCTGTGATCCAGTGTTCCCTTGAGCGCTCTAGGCCCTTGCTCCTAGGTACACTTTTCACCTATTATTATGACCCCAGGCAGGTGCCAAGGGTCACAGAACAAGTAAAGATTTGGTGGGGTGGGGGGAGCCAGGTGCTAAAATACACTACCTAAAATACTTTTTGTTGTGCATGTCTGCAATTCCAGCACTGTGGAGGCTGAAGCAGCAAGATCACTGAAAGTTCAAGGACAGCCTGGGCTACAGTAGTAGACTTCTCTCAAAAAGAAAAAACCAACCAAGTCAAGGCCCTGGGCTTGAGCCCCAGTTTAAAAAAAAAAAAAAAAAAAAATCCAGCTTTAAATAAAATTATGAAAGCTTTAAGAAGTAGGGATGTGGTACTTGAAAAGCAGCAGAGGTTGAGAGGTTCCAGATGCTCTGTGTAGCAGACAGACTTCAAAAGCAGCCACGAAGGCATGTCCAGAGAACAAAAGAAAACTCCATTTAAAGAAATAAAAGTAGTCAGGTGTGGTGGCCAGTAATCCTGGCACTCCGAGAGGCCAAGGCAGGTGGTTATGTACTTCAAGCCCAGCACAATTTAGCAAGTTACCAAGTCCCTGTCTAATATGAATGAATAGGTGGGTGGATGAATGAATGGATATGTAGCTCTGTCTAGGGACATTCAACTCAATCCTCAGTACTACAAGAAAAAAGGAAAATCTGGGGCTTGTTCTCATCGAATAATGCCAATGAATACTTTGGTTATTTGTTTTTTTGTTTGTGTTTTGTTTTTTTGAGGCAGGGTCCTACTATGCAGCTTGAACTTTTGTGTAATGCAGGCTGACCTTGAACTCACAGTGATTCTCCTGTGTCAGCCTCCAAGTGCTGGGATTACAAGCAGGTGGCACTACACCTGGTGGATTTTCTTTGAGTTATTGCAGACTTGAGCTGGTGGAGAAAGCATCCATAAAACTGAAGATTAAGTTGACAGAAATTATGTTTGTAACTGAAGCCAGTGTTGCATGTGTAGTCCCAGCTACTCAGGAAGCAGAGAGGCAGGAGGCTCCTGGAACCCAGGGGTTCAGGACTGGAATTCTAAACAACTGCTGAGCTCATGACTGCATCAAGTACTCCAAGGCAGAGGAAAGCTCCAGGGGAGGGAGGAGGAGAAATATTCAAAAGGTAACAGCTGAAATCTGCCAAAGTTAGGCCAAAAGCAGTAATCTGTACTTCTAAGAAATTCAGCATTTACCATTAAAAAAAATACGGGATGAGATGTTTAAAATCCTAGAAGAGCAAGCACTGTGCAAGAATCTCAGCTACTCAGAAGACTGAGGCAGGAGGATCGTGAGTTCCAGGCCAGCCTAGTCATTTCATGAGACCTGTTTTTAAACTTTTAAGATGGGCTGGTGGAGTGTGTGCAGCACAAGGCCTTGGTCCCATTCATTCCCAGTACCACAACATACAAGAATGGAGGCTGACTGTTCACTTTACTGGGGCATCTTCTGACGTACAGGCCACAGGGTCTCGCCAACTGGGGCCACCTATCTCCAGTTTTCTTATCTTGCCTTTTTCCCATCCCCTGTGGTACCCTCTCTGTAATTCTACATAGATTATTGTACATCTTTCAACTTTGTATCTCATTATTTTTCATACCTTTGTCTCTCTGGCTTCTGTTTCCATATTTGCTTCAGATCCATTTTCTAGTTTAATATGTTTTTTTTTGCGTGTGTGTAATCTGTTCAACTTATCTGCCAAGAATTTGATTTGATTTCATTTTTTTCCCCCATTACTCAACATCTTTCTCTTGACTAATAAACTCTTACACTTTCTTGTCATTTTTTTTTTCGGTGCTACATATTAGGGAGAAGATGCTGAGTCTGGCATATTTTGCTCAGCATGATGACCCGAAGATCCATCCATTTTCACAAAAATGACAAAATATGCTCTTTATGGATGAATACTTCTCTGTGTGTGTATGTGCCACATGGTATTTGTCCTGTCCATGCATCTGGGGGACACATATCTTTGCTACTGTGGATTGTGCCATGGTAAACACAGACATACAGCTATCTACAGGATACGCTGAATCATCCCCTTGGGTATATACCAAAGAGTAATACCACTGGATCAAACATTAAGTTTTTGAGGAAATCTAGTAAGATTTCCATAATGGCTATACTAATTTACATTCCCATCAGTAAGGTAGGTTCCATTTCCCTGCATTCTTGTGTGTGTGTGTGTGTGTGTGTGTGTGTGTGTGTGTATTGAAGATAACCATTCCGGGGTTAGGTGGAATCTCAATGCTTTGGTTTCCATTTTCCATGAATGAAGATGTTGAACACTGTTTACTTCCTTACTGGGCATTTGAACCTATATTAATATAGACACAGATTCATGCTTTGTTCCCAGGGGCACCCTAGCACCACAGTGTTTATTCCAGAATTCTCTATTTATAACTTCATTAAACTACAGTGGGAGATGGCACACTAGTTTTCTGTACTGAATTTACTAACTACTAGAGTAGTTTCGGAGTGGCTAACAGTGACTCATGTGAAAGACACGTTGGCCCAGTATATGTATGCAGTTCCAGAGTCACAGGCTCCAGGCAAAAGGCTGTTTTCCTGACTGACTTGGGTTAGGCTCTTTGAGCAGCAGCACCTTCTGCTGTATGGTTATGTAACATTTCTAGCAATGACTATCTGCAATCCATTTCAGTTCCCTTGCATTCTTATTTATATTTATTTTCTTTCATGAGACGGTCTTACTATGTTTCCAGCCTGTTTTTCCAACTCCTGGAGTCAAGAGATCATTCTGCCTCAGGTCCCCCAATACCTGGGATGACCAGCTACCTCGCCTGGTTACCATGGTTGATTTTTAAATATTGGAATAGAGTAAAAGTCACTCTTTTCAGTATACAATTCATTGTTATGACAGCTGTGTGGTCTCGTACTCTCCTCCATGCTTCCATACAGAACTATCAGTGCCCTGAGCATTCGTTCATACTCCTGCTTTCTAGTCCATGCTTCCTTGTCCTGTCCTGTGACAGCCTCTGGTCACTGTGAAAGCCTAGGAGTTCACTTGCTCTGCACTGTCACACAAAGAACTGCCTACTACCCAGACTTTGGGTTCCAACTTCCCCCACTGTCGGAAGTGCCCTGGAGACTCATTGGCACTGTGGTGCGAGTTAGTGATTTATTAGGTTATGTATCACTCATTAATGCATCAATGGTGGGATGCCCCTCAGTCTATATGCTCACCTATGACAAGACTTCGGATGTGTTGGTAGCTTTTGGCAAATATGAACAAAGTAGCTATGGATTTTCACTAAGAGGTTTTGGTTTAGTAATTAAGTTTCAGTTTCTATCAGTAAATACCTAGCTCTGGGATAGCTGGATCATATGAGAAATGTGTGTGTAAATTTACAAGAAATAACTAAGCTTGTTTTAAAGTCACTGCTACACCATTTTGTAATCCCAGTTGTATTTGTTTCAAATCCTGGCAGTTGGTAATTTAATTTTTAATTTCACAGTCTTGTAAGTAGCCAGCATCTAAGTGACACTTGGGCACTGCTGAGCTTGTACTCTACTGAATGCTGCATCCTGTGTTGCGATTGCTTCCCCTCAGCTCATGACAGATGCACCCCCTGCACCCCCTCATGGAGCTGCTGTGTTGTTTTTCTACATTACGTGGGCTCATGGCCATACTATATTTCACTGTGTGTATTATTTTCCTGGGTGCTTTTTCTTTTGGTCTTTTTGAGTTAGGGTCTCACTGTGCAGTTCAGGCTGGCCGTGAACTTACTTTGTAGTCCAGACTGGCCTGAATCCACAGCAATCGTCCTCCTTCAGCCTCCTAAATGCTGGGATTACAGACGTGCACTGCCATGCCCGGCCCACCTGCGTGCTTTTAAGTTTTTTGTTTGCATTTTACTTTATAATGTGCCTATGTATGTTCTTATTTGTATTTTTATGTAGGGGTTTGTTAGCTTTCTAGGACTGAAAAATTTAGGTTTTATACCAACGTTTGGACTTTTTCGGCTATTTATTTTTATTTAACTTTTAAAGTCACACTTAGTTTTTCTGTCTCCCCTCTCCCGTTAGGGAACCAGTGCTCTCTCAGATCTCTAAGGTACTGCTCATTTTTAAAAAGCTGTTTCCACTCTTCCTTCAGCTTAGATACACTTAGACGATGCGTGGCTCTGTCTTTGAGATTCTAGATTTCTATTTGCACCTGGACCATTCCCCCAGATTCATGTGTGAAGTTCCCACAGACACTTTCTGCAAGCTAATTGCAACTTACCCTAGTGAGGAGCTCAGCATTCATTTGAAAAGACCTCTGAGTCTTTCCTCCTTTTCCCTGCCTGTACTTCCAGCCTCTGCTCTGCCTGTGTCTGCTGTGACTTGGAGTGGGCCCAACTCAGCCTCAGGGTGGCAGAGAGCTCTCCATGCCAGCACCTTTCATGTGTCTTCACCTCAGCCAGGGGGCCAGCTGCTGTCCCACCTCACAGGCAGGAAGTGACACTATAGAGGGAAGGACTCTCTAGGGACACAGGCTGCTGCCCAGAGCAGAGCCAGTTCTGGGCATCAAGACAGGCCACACCCCTTGCCCACCTGTCTTCCTGATCCTCACAGCACTCACCTATCCCCATCACACAGGGGGCTCTTCAGTCCCTTTCCTTGCAGGAACTGTGCCTGTCTTCCCCACAGTACCCAGGGGCTCTGCTGAGGGCTCTGGGCTACAGCTGGACAATGCTGGGAGGTGTACAGCATGGTGGGAGGATTTAGTGCCCTGGAGATGCATTTTGAAATAGAGGAACAGTTTGGCTTTATTAAAATGAATTCTACACAGACAGACAAACATGGAAATGGGATAATAAGGAAAAGAACAAAAGGAGACTTCTCTGGAGAAGGAAAGGAAGGGGAGGGGAGGGGAAAGGAGGGAAGGGAAGGAAGGCCCTGCAGCTGGAGCCCTGCATGGTTTCCAGGCCTTTCCTCTGCTGCTGGTCTCCCTTGAAGGCTGCCACTGTGGAAGGTAGCTCTGACCCTAGAGGTGGCAGGAGAAAAGACTCCTCTAGCACTGCCCTTCCCTGAGTCTTTCCCAAGGCAGAGCAGCCCCCTTCCTGCCAGAGAAGCCCCAGGTGCTGGGCCCACAGCAGGACACCATCCCACCTCAGGTGCAGCCTCGTCAGTGGTCCCAGCCTCTTCCTCGGCTCCTGGCTAGCGGGCAGTCTCTGGAGCCTCCTCCTGGTGAGGCCCATGCTGTCTCACCCCCATGCACCCACCCTGGGCTCCTCACCGTAGGAAATCAGAGCATATTTAGTAGACTCCAGGTTGGGTCAGGACTCTGCACACTTGCGGGATGATTTGGGAGTCTGGCAGGTTGATGAGTGCATAGACGATGAGCTGCTTCAGGCTGCCTAGGTCTGGGCACTGGCAAAAGTCTGCTGGGTATTGGAGCAACCAGGTCTCCAGGAGGGAGCTCAGAGCACTAGGGGCAGTAGGCAGGAGAGTCCATGGCATTGCCCCTCCCCCTGCCCTAGGCTGTCATGGACCCTGAAGGAGGGCTGCTGGCAGAGCCCACTTGAGTCAGGAGCAGCTGGTCCCTGAGGCCAGGGGTGTGGGGTGAGTGAGCAGTCTGTGCCCTGCACCTCCAGTGCAGCCTCCATACAGGATTGCGTGGGCTCTGGCTGGGAACATGCTATGTATGTATGGATCCTCAGGGGCACCTACTTGGAGACCCAGCCACCCCTTGCTACCCGCATGCATGGGACCCCAACCGCAGCTCTCTGTCTTCACCTGGAGGTGTAGTCCCAGACCCCTGCCTCTAGTGGAAATGAATGAAAAGTTCATGACCCCAGGTTTTGAGAGCCCAACTGAAGTCCTTTTGCTCAGATCAACCCCACTCTGAAGACAGGAGCCCTTCCTCTCGGCCTAAGTCCACTCACCTCTTATTTTTCTGGTCCTCCTCAGAGCTGGGGTGAAAGAATCTGTACCTAGAAGAGTCAAGAGGGTGTCACCTGATAGCACCCAGTGTCCCTACCTGCCAGGATGTCTAGGGGATGATCTGATTCCCAAATGAGTAGAGAAGCTGGGGAAGCTGAGAGGTTCATGTGTGCTGCTTCCTGGATGACAGAGAAGTGTCAGGAAAGGTGCTGCACACAGTAGGTGCATTGCACACCCTTGTGCAGTGAATGAACCAGCTCTTGCCCAGATGTCTCAGTATTTGGGCTGCATGGTTTGCCCCTAGGGGCCCCTGCTCAGAATTCATCTAGACAGGAACTTTGGAAAGTGAGGCCCCAGATAGACAGCTCCTTCGTGGGGAAGGGGAAGCCCCACAGCTCTGGGCCCCTCACACTGCACAGAGCCAGACCTGAGCTAGGTGTTCTGGGGCCTCAGCCTACTTGGTCTATGATTACACCATAAGGGGTGTCCTCTGAGCACCCCAGTTTCCACAGAGTACACTGGGATGTGGGATGGTGCAGGGCATTCCCAAGAGCCATCCAGGAGGTGGTGGGTCCCCTGGCTTGGAGGTGGGGCACACCTGAGGAACAGCAGATCCAGCACCTGCTGTGTGGTGGCAAACCGCCTGTAGGTGGACAGGAATGCAGGCACGAAGAAGGGATCCCCTTGGCGCTGGGCAGACACCAGGTGGTTCACCAGCTTCTCTAGTGTGCCTGGCTCCAAAGTCCCCACCCTGCCAACCTTCTCCACCTTCGGGGTGGACTCACTTTTGCCCTGAATTGGCACCAAGAAGGGAGAGTTCAAGCTTACAAACTGTAACCAACTCAGAAGTGCTCAATCCCCAAGTGAAACAGCGTGGAAAGAAGTGCTCTCTATTCTCACACCCACCCATGCACTCAGTCACACAGCACAGGGAGGGGGCTGGGACATCTTGGTGGTCAGTGCGATGGGCTGGCTCACTCTGTCCTGTTCTGAGCTGTTTTGTGTCACCTTCAGGATCCTGGAGTTAATGCGCCTGAGGCTCAAGGGGCGACAGGTGTCCCAGTGTGTCTGTATTTGGCCAAGGCCCCAGCTCCACTGTCTCCTGTGGGCTGAACCTGGGCAATTTGGGAGACAAAATGACATTTTCCTTGTCATTGAGTCTCTCCCCAAGTAACTGGAGCCAGCCAGCTTCTCAAGTTCCAAGTTCTGTTTGGTGCATTGTCAAGGAAATGAGGTCACTTCCTGTTCCCCTTCTTAAAGCTGCAACACCAAAGACATCCCAGCATGCTGTCTGTTCCTTTCTAACCTGCCCGTGTGAAAACTGGACACCCCCAACCCTGTGCTACTAACTGCATGGACTCTAGTGCAACTAGCTCCTGGTGGATGGAGAAAGCCAGTTTAAGAGCCAGGTCCTCCCACTTAGTGTTAAAGTTTAGGGGCTCAGGTCAAGGGGTCAAGTTTTAGAGTTGGGTTAGATGAAAGGTTCATATGGAACCAGTGTGATGTCTAGCACTCTTGTTAGGGTTAGGGTAAGCAGCAGGATACGACCTTGAAGCAAGTTTGAGTAATTATTTCAGTGGGTTAGTGTAGGGACTCAGTCTCTTGGTATAGCTTGGGGAGAAAAGGCAGCATGAATGAGGAAAATATACATAAGAGACAAGACCTGGGTCAAATGGTGGCCCATTTGCCAAGAAAGGATCCCAAGAACAACATTAAGGGGTATTTATTGATTTGTTTGTTTAATGTATTTGGTACAGGGTCTCACTATGCAGCTTGGACTCATAGTGATCCTCTTGTTCCCATCTTCCCCAGCACTGGGATTATATATAGGTACGGGCCACCATGCCTGGTCTTGGTGGTCAGCTCCATGCACCTGGAGGCAGGGCTGGCACAGTATGTGGTACCAGGATTGAACCCTGGTCTCTGCACTTGCCTAGGCAGGTGCTTAGTCTACTGAGCTATCTTGCTGTCCCAGGGGCATTTATTTATATACCTTTGCAAAGTTAGTATCATGAGATACAAGTTTGCCTAGCAACTAAAGCTTAAATTGTCCAGGCAGGATGTTTTTCTCAAGAATGAGGTAGCTTGACTGCTTTTAGCCAGTCTGGCCTTCTTCTGCTCCCCTCCATATGATCAATTGCTAGCTTTTGCCCCTCTTAGGAAAGCAGGGTCAGGTTGGGTTGACACTTTCATGTGAAGGTCTGGATTAGGTTACATGTCATTTAAGGGTTCATGTTAGGTTTAGGTCTATTTGGATTTGTTCAATGCTCATTTTAGGGCTAGAGTTTTGGTTATTTGCCATGTTGTATATTATTTTCATCACTAATCACATTGATAATAAAATCCTATTGGAGTAGAGGGAAGGTAAGGGTAGTGGTAGGGCACTATCAAGGTAAGGGTAAAGGTTAGGGTAATAGTGAGGATCAGGGTCAGTTTCAGGGTTAAGCTGATAGGTGTTAGCGTAAGTGTCGGGTTTGGTATGAGTATAAGGGTTTGAGTAAAGATTAAGGTTAGGAGTTGAGAATTTTGCTAGACTAATGCTCCCAGTCATGGTTAAGGGAGATTGTTAGGGCTTCACGTAAGGATAAGGTTTAGGATTTACTGTTTAGGTAGCTGCTAAGGCTAAGGTTAGAGTTGGATATGAGGGTTTAGGTTTATGTTAGGTTAGGTTTTAGGGTTAGGTTAGGGTTTAGGTTTATGGCTGGGAGTGGGTTAGCATTAGATTTGGTTGGTGTTGGGGTTCAGTTCATTTAGAGTTACAGTTAAAGATAGGCTTTAATTTTACAGGTTTAGATTTAATATTATGATCAGTGTTTCTATCAGGGTTAGCGTTTAAGGTTAGGTACAGGGATAGGTTTAAGATTCTGGTTTAGGGTTAGGGTCAGCAGTGCTGAGTGCTAGGATTACAGATGTATTCCTCCATACTTGGCCAGGTTCTTCTCGTGTATAGAATATTCTATTTGTTTATGTCTCTTCTAAGTCTTACAGGGTGAAAATTTTTAGTTTATTCATTTATGCATGATTGTGTGGGATTTTTGGAGACTGAAGTTGCATTTTTAATGAAAAATCACTTCTTTCTCAAGACAGCAGTTGGAAGGTGTGCTGATGTTTTCTTACCTCTGTAGTTTCATGGAAAGGATTTTGAAATTGTTTAGGGGGGGGTTATGACTGGGATTTTAGGCAGGTACATGTGTAAGAAGTGCTGGGAATGGAACCCAGGGCATCTTCAAGCTACGTAAGAAGTCTACTCTTGAGCTCCTGACACCCACAGCTGCTTTTCTAAATCTTTCTAAATGAGAAATCTGTATTTTTTGAGTCTGACTGATGCTAGGAAATCTGGGGTCAAAGGGATGCAAGTGCTTCATGCCTGCCAGGAGAGCAGCCCTCAGAGCCCAGTGGTAACTGTGCCCTCCTGAGAACCAGTGCCAAGAAACCAAAGGAGTCAAGTGCAGAATGCCCTCTCTAGCTTGTCACTGTAAGAAGACTTCAGTCCTGTGGTCCTTGGTGATACATGTGCTTCAGACACCTGGTAATTGTGGCCTGGGCATTCCCAGTGCATTCCTTTCACTCTGGAACTCCTGACTCCTTTGCCACCCTGGGAGCATCTGAGATTCCTGAGGGAACCATTCTCCAGGTGACAGCCGATAAGTTCTATTTCTTTTGTTCTGAGAAGTTTCTGTGTCCTTAGCACAGCATAGGTACCCCTGTCCCTGACTTTAGTGGAACGCTCCATGACCACAGCAGACCTGCTTCACTCCTCTGCCTGGCTTCAGCGAGAGGCAAGACCCATGTGCCCCATAGCCTGGTGCCCAGATGGCAGCCCAGAGGCTGGGCATAACCCTCAATTACTAATGCACATTTTTATCTTTTGTAATTTCATCAAAAGATTTTGTTTACATGGCTTACAGAGAATATTTAGGTTATTTTGCGAATTCTAGCCCATAGACTAAATTACTGTTCTTTTTGGTTTGGGCTTGAAAACTAGATCATATTTTTTAAAAGACCATTCATTTTAATTTTGAGACATGGTCTCACTAAGTCACTAATTCCTTAGCCCAAGTTCAAACTTATGATTCTTGGCCTCAGCCTCCACGGTGCCAAAGTTACAGGCTTGGCCACCCTGCAGGCTTCCTGTTACTTCTTTCCTTCTTCCTATTATATGACTAATACATGTCTCATTGCATTAAGTGACACATTGCTTACATCTGTTTGAAAGACAAAAGTGCTTTTAAAATTACTCCTTATTTAAAAAACAAATACCAGGACAAAAAACATAGAGCAGAAAAGCGCTCTGGGCAGTACCGATCCTCCAATTTATCAGTGGTGGCTTTGCTAATCTTTCTAACCAGAAGTTGGGAGTCTGGTCTCAGCCATCCCCATTTCTGACACCAATTAATAACAGGAATTATCACCCTTATTAGGAAGATGTTTTCTAAGATGTGAAAACACATAGTAAGAAAATAAATTTAGAAGCCGGACTTGCTGGTACACGAGTGTAACTTTGGCACTGAGTCTAAGGCAGTATGGTAAGGTTGGGCATTTGTGAAATAGTAGGACCATGTACCAAATCTAAAATGACAAAATGTGGGCTGGGGATATAGCTCAGTGCAAAAACTGCCTGCTTGGTGGGCACAGTGTCCTGAGTTTGATCCCTGGTATCAAAATAAATTAATAGATAAAATAACATAATGTGATGGGGGTATAACTCAATGTGAAAGCCCTCTCTGGGTTTACCCAGAGTAACACACACACACACACACATACACACACACACACACAAAGTTGCACAGCAATATAAATAATTCCATTTTATTTGCTTTTGAACACATTGCATTATAGAAAAAGAAGATTTAAGAATGATTAATCCTAAAACAAACATGGGAGTTTTGTTTGTTTCTATGTTCTGTGACACTGAAACAAAAAGATCAAAAGTTTGAGCTCAGACTGGCTTAGTGAAATTTTGTCTCAAAATAAAAAATAACAAAAAGGCTGGGGATGTAGTTCAGAGCCAAAGCAGTAGCTTCGAGCCCCACCATCATATGCAAAAAAGAAACAGGGAGAACAGGGAGGACACTGCACCAACACACAGTAGCTGCAGGTTCACTGCTTCCTGTTCCTGGAACCGGGAGTCAGGTCCCTGCACCGTGCAAGGTTGCTCCCTGCAGTGTCCAGGATGCTGTTCACACATGGTCTGCAAGGTCCCCACTCCAACCCTGCTTCCAGCAGCGCCCAATCATGGCAGCTCCCCATGGCCCTATCCCTTCGTGGCCTTGATGTGCTAAGTGATATTGCTGAAGGATGATGTCTGGGCCAAGATACAGAAGTGTGCAGAATAAAGCCAGGCCTAGAGAAGAGATGCTATGGTATTGCAGGAAGAAATGCATCAACAATAGCCCGGAGAGGGCTGGGGAGATAACTTGGCAATCTAAGTGCCTGCCTGGTAAGTACAAGGACCCGGGTTCCATTCCCAGTACCGTGTGCCATGCTGCTGGCTACCAAAACTGGGAGTAGTGGCACATGTCTGTAATCCCAGCACTAGGGAGGCTGAGACAGGAGGATCACTACGGGTCCAAGCTGCATAGGGAGACCTTGTACCAAATAAATAAATAAAAATTTTTTTAAAAAAATTAACACAACAAAACATTAGCTAGGAGCTCAGGAGAAAAAAAGAAATTCTATGGACGCTAGCAGATCCCAGAGGAGTAGCCTCTGAAGTCTGAGGTGTTGATGACAGTGTGTCCCATTTATAAGGTGGCAAACAGAAGTTACAAGAATAGATATGCTTTTGCTGAAGGTTATGAGATAGTGGGTGTCTTGTGGGGGGCACAGCTATGTGTAGCAAAGTTGTCTTTGGCACATTCACAGAAGTTTCAATTTGATGAAAAAACGTGTGATTTAGCTGAGTTCAGTGGCAGAGAACAGAGTGCCTGCAGCTTTACTGAACACAATGGCTATAGTTAGGTCAGGATTTCTCCTTCATTGGAACACAGTTTTCTTTCATACATAGATCCTGCATTAAAAACCAGAGCTGGGTAAGGCCGTATGGCAGTGGCAGAGCCCCGGTGCTGGCAAAGCCCCTCACCCCCATGCCCCATCCCCTCCGAGACCCTGGGATGAGAAAGTCTAAGGTACTCGAGCAGCATCCTGCACTTCCACAAGCAGGATTAAGGTCTGTCTT